AAATGCAATTACTGTGAACGCGCTTTTGCCCAAAGTAACGATCTAATCAAACATTTGCGAAATCACCTCGGTGAAAATGTTTATAAATGTGAGTTGTGTCCGAGCGCTTTCCGACTGGCTACTGAGCTGCGCGTACACTTTGCTTTACATAAGAATGATAATAAAGAGACGCATACGCGAAATATGCTCGCACTCAGAGAAGATGAGGCAAGATTGCGATTAAATTTAACAACAAAACAAGGACTGCTGCCTAAAATGGCTTCGCCGGCCAATATCAGGGTGAAACCAGGACTTGTTCTTGATTAAGCTTATGGCTTGTCGGAATAGATTTCCAATCCATATTTCAAACAATCTTGAAGTGTCTGTAACGCGCATTTCGGTGAGGGGTAGAGCGAATGAAGTCGTCTGTTAGTTTCAATCGGAAGGCGAGTGGATAACTAGTTCTAGACTATGAAAAAAACGTTTATCAAAGGCTCAAAGATCGCCCAGTCCAGAGGGATATCAATAGATGTATTGAATAAATTCTATAATATATTTTAGTTACTGCTATGACTATTAAAAAATACCAATTAATTTTGCAGACGTTGCGAAAGTTATTGCATGGAAGACTATGCAAAAACATATTCTAGTTTCCTAAGCAAGGAGATTCTAATTTAACAAAGCTGATAATGTAAAAAAAAAAGTACACATATGTATGTAAATTCGTAAATAAGTATGTATGTGTAGTGTTTATTTGTGACATTATTATAAAACAACTTAAATGGTATTAGAATGTTCGACTTTGGACTAAAATAAGTCGCCCTTAAAAAGTTGCATCTATTATTAGGGCATATTAAACCCCGCCTATGGCTATCTAATCGTTAAAAAATTGTTTGGGAACCAAATGAAATATTGCTTTAAAGACAAAATGGCCAACTTATCTGGAGAAGTTGTTTTATTAAAACACTACAGTATACATATCGACACCTATTCGCGATTTTATCTTAAGCGACAAAAATACGACAGTTTTTGTTTTTAACTCTCCCTTAAACAGTGCAACAATTTTTATGGATTTTATTGTTTAAAGGTAAAATGGCGCTTATGATATTTTTCCTGAACATGTCGAGGTAAGTTATAAAAAAATTGGCGCTTGCGATAGCTTTTATGTTGTATAATCGGTACTTTA